TAACCCTAATCCCTAATATGGCCTCAGGCAGCCTCCTCAAAGCCCATTGGTCATAATTTTTGACCAATAGGAATGGAGATTTTCATTATTCATCTCCATTCATTTATATTGGTACCCTAATTACTCCCTTTGCTACCAAAATCCTTCTTTAATCATTTTTTTTTCTTATAAGATTTACATAATTTATGCTCTAAACACCAAATAAAAGAACCAAAAGAAGTTTTCAAAGGTCACCAATGTCTAATACAGGTGATTCTAAATATTTAGAAGTTACTATTAACCAAAACTAATCTTAAAAGCTACTATCAAAAGAAAATTAAAGTTATACAAATTCTATAGTAATCTTTTTAAACAACCTCTTCTCAGAGTAATAATCAAATTATATTCTACAACCAACTAAAATCTACTAACATGGCTCTTACTATGTTATTTAATAAATTATATATTAACTACATAATTACATTATTTTCATATAATAGCCAAACTACAACACGACAATGTGGCATTATTTGAACTCCAATCGGCAATGACAATTTGACCTCAATGCAATATCTTGCCATTACCATTATATTAGTACAATACATCAATCTTTGGACTTTGTAGATTTTTTCTTTCCACATTTGTCAATAACATTCATAGTAGTTACCAGCCTCAAAAAAATAACCTCCTAGCTACTACATATGCCTCTAATCTATACCTTGGATCCTCCAATATTATCCACAACAATACCCAACTATACCACCACGAGTTTAGGCATATCAACAATTATAAGCTAAGCAAGCTTATTCAATTTAATATTATTACAAACCTATTCTTTAAGCACATATTTTTCTACCAATTTTTTATTTTCATATATAGCAAATAAATCATGATTGGGTTTCTCAAACTTATTATATTTTGAATCATACAACCTTTTTAAATTATCCATTCTAATCTCCATAGAAGAACTATAATTCTTATATTTTCTAAATTTTAATATTATGTCATCTTTATAGATGACTATTCTAAAAAAAAAATCTTTATAAAAAATATATATATATTTTAAGGTATTAAAAATACTTCATATTTGGACTGAAATTCAAATCAAGTACAAACTTTATATCCTTTGATTTGACCAAAGAGAAGAATACTTATTATTTTAATTTAATTACTATTTATTTATTCATAGCATATAATATCAATTTATAATGTCTTATACATCAAGACAAAATAATGTAATTAAAAAAAAGAATAGAATGTTGTCATATTATAATTGTTTATAATATGTAAAAATTAACTAAAATATATAATATATTAATAATTATTGATGTATATTAGAGTGGTTAGTTAGTTAATTTAAAGAGATTTGTTATAAGAAATTTTATTTTGAAGTTTATTTATGTTGATTATAATATTTAAATTATACAAAATTTAGATATTTAATTTAAAATTTAAAGAGAAGATTGGAGCTCAAAGATGAAGATCCAAACCTCTAAAAAATTTATTTGGAGGAATGAAAGCAAAGTATAGATGGATGAAGATAAAAGGTAAAGATTTTCATGCATATTGGTCAAAGGCCACGCCTAATAAGCATTCAGCAAGCTATCTGCAACCATAACAAGGGTTTTGGCGACTTCAAAAGGAGCATTTGAGAATCAAAAGCAAAGATTATAAGAATTAGGATTTGCACTACAATTTTTGTACAAATTTTAGAGGAATTGGAATTAAAGTGATGAAGTTATAGCCATTTGAAGTTAAGGTGTCTTTTTAAAACATATTGTTGTTCTTTTGATGTTACAAGGAGTTTAATCATAGATTTTGGAGATTGAGAGGTGTGGCCGCAAGGGTGATTTTAAGATCTACATTTTTTGTAAAAGAATTATTATATTTGGAGTTTGTGTGAAGGAGTTATGAGGCATTGAAGATAGAACATGTAATTCAAAGGCAATAAGTGAGTCGTTTTGTTGATAGTAATGGTTGGAGCCATATCTTGAGTTTTTAGATGAATTTTTGGCTCAAAATTTCCAAAAGTGTGTGTTATTAGGTTAAAAAGCTATATATCAAAATTTTATGGTATTTGAAGGTTTAGTTTGTAAGATATGAAGAAAATTGCACATGGGTGTATGTAAGTAAGGATTTGGAGCTATTTTTAGGATTTTAGAGATATCTCGACTTGTAACGAATTTGCAATTAAAATTTGTTGTCTTAGTTGTTAAAAGTTAATTAATACTTTATATAAAATTTTGGTTTATTTAAATAGTCCGATCGTTAGATATGAGCTATTAAAGTTTTTAAAAAAAAAACCCTCTTAAGGATATACAAGGTTTTATAATATTTTTATTACATTTTTGGTCATCTTTGGTACTTAGGGCTTATGTAATCGCCTCTACATGAAAAAAATTATATATAAACTTGGTATTTTTTTTTTATCTTGAGACTTAATTGAGCAATTAGTGACACCTAGAAGCCCGGTGCTTTATTAAGACAAATTCTTTCTACCTTAATAACATCACATATTGCCACAAGATGAATACTACTTGAAGCAAAATTGGCTAAATAATATTGGAGTGAAGTAGTTACATATACCACATATCTTCAAAATTCATTTTCTATAAAAAAACCATTGTCTTAATTACAACACTATTTAAATTATAGTATAAACAAATACTTGATATAACATTTTTTTGTATTTGTGTGTTACATACATACATATTTACTCCAATAATTACCTATAGATAAGGTATAAATAAATAAAAATAAATTAATTCAATAATAACTTATGAACAAGCTTATAGAATCATTTTGGCTTAGGCATGGGTTTTACTCAATTCATCAGGATCCATATTGACCAACCATGCCTATATACTACCTTAAAGTCATATTCTTGAAGCATCAAGGCCTATCTTACAAGTTTTCTAATTAGGTTGTCAGATTCCATAAGCCATTTAAGTGGTTGATGGTCTATTATTAAGAAAAATTCTCTACCACGTAAATAACATCAAAATTATGTTTTTATTTCATTTTTTTCAAATATATGTATATATATATATATATATATATATATATTTATTTGAAAAGAAGTCTAACAAATCTTAAATGCCAACTTTTAGTGAAAATTTTGAAGATATTTTTTAACATTACAAAGCTAAAGGATCACAAAGTTATGTGTGTAAGCACATACCTGCTCAGACATACAGACACAGATACATTTTGCATAAACCACATGATAAATAAATTTGTAATTATCCCTTGGAAAACAAACAATGAAACATTCGGCATTCAAGTTCGAACCTGGCCTCATGATATCACCTACATTCATCCATCGACGACAGTTTCCTCCCGAGTTTGAAAGCTTCATCCATCAGCGAATCAAGTATTACATCCATCAGCGAATCAAGTATTACATCCATCAGCGAATCAAGTATTACATCCATCAGCGAATCAAGTATTACATCCATCAGCGAATCAAGTATTACATCCATCAGCGAATCAAGTATTACATCCATCAGCGAATCAAGTATTACATCCATCAGCGAATCAAGTATTACATCCATCAGCGAATCAAGTATTACATCCATCCAAACTAAGATACCCTATCCATCTGATACGCATTAACTACTCATCCTTCACTACGCGCCATCCACACATTCATCCGCATTTGCAACCGAATGTGATTTAGACTTTGTCGCGACGCTTCTTCCTCGTTGGCGCAGATCTCGCCGATGAAGCGATCGAAATGCGATCGCAAGTTTAGAATTGAATTTGGATTCCTGGTGGATCGATCATCGAATCTTCATAATACTAGCATCGAAGGAAGTGACACGATTCTTTGCGCGCAGTCGAATGGCCCCAACGTTCATGTTTTACGTGAGGGGATGCAAAAGCTGTGCAGATACACTTCTAATTGCAGAGGGTTCGGAATGTGGCGTGAAGAGGTCCCTCATGGCAAGCCAAATGGCGCTTCGAGCATACCCCTGGCCCCTTTCTCATTAAGACAACAGAATGAAGACAAGAGCATGGATAATTTCCAGTAATACTGTTGAGGAATCGTAGCTGACAAGGCTAAAGAGAATGCTGTGGTGTCCCTGATCCACCTTGCTTACAGCAGCACCTGCTCCTCTTCAGCAACAAAAATCGGTCGAATTCTTCATGACATTCAGAATGAAAACGCGCTCTGCAGCTAGTTGTGGCTCGTGATCTGACATGCATATGCTCGACAGCTTTTCGAATGCTTGAATACCGCATGTGACAGGTACAAGACTAGTATTCCCAAGTTTCTGACATGTAACCTCACAAGTCACAAATTGCAGACAATAGCTCATCAATCCAGAAAGGGTGATAGATCTTATGCAAAAGTGTGACCTAGCTCGACATCCAGAAACCGAAGCTTGCTGATGCTCCATTTTTGAATGAGTGGGGAACACCAGCGTAACTCGTCGTGGCCCAGAAGTTGTCACTCGAATATCTGAAACCGGCAGATCCCAGACACGATCCAGGAAACGATGTCCAACTGCTTCGCGCAGCCTTACAACATCAACCAAACAAGCTCCACGACTTCTGCCGATGCTGCACAGCCCCGAGACATATACTATTAAAGCTCAAGCATGCTTCCGAGCGTGTCAATCAACGTCCCCTGAGGAACTTCTGCTTTTGCTTCATACGACACTACACGAACTAGGGTACGCGATTCCGAGAAGTAAACCATCACTGAAGAGCACACAGACTGTTTGCAAAACAATGACTGAAACAGCACAATATTCCTCGACAATCGTCTGTATATCATCCATGTTGTTGAAGAGATCGATTGTGGGTCACAGTATGAATGGGAGCCGTGTCAACAGAATTTGGGAATCAGAAAACTTGCAGAAAAGTGGTGTCATATTTCCACGCTTCCCTCGGCATGAGTTCCCTTCATTTTCCATTACCCAAGTCATGTTATTTCGTCACCATGATCCGAAGCTCTGAGCTCAACTTTTTCTAGCAATTGAATGCTTCCATGTTATGAATCTGAAAGTGCCGTGTTCCAAGTTCCAATGAAGTGCCCTTGGAGTTCCCCAAGGCGAACGTCGTCGACGTCGTCGTCTTTGGGAAGACAGCGTTCGGCACGGCCTGTCTCTGCAGTCGAGCGTGTGCATTTTTCTTCACTGCCCTCAGCGTTTGCTGTGGGGATTTGAGCTCCGCTTGGTGCGTAGGGTTTGGTGTCAGGAATCCGGCACCATGTTGGCGAGGGGGTTGGGGCGGCGTCTTCCCGCACTCGCTCGACTTGCGCAGTCCTCGCAGGGCGCTTCTGCGGCTCTTGTAGACGTGAGCACCTGCGTGAAAGAGGAGCGTCTTGAGAATGATCTGAGCGTGGTGCTGTCTAGCTCTAGCTCGCTCAGCCGATCGTGGCACTTTTCTCGTGGTGGGTTCTCTTCGTGTGAAGCTTTTTTGTCTTCTGTGTGCGCCTTTCAGCTGTGTGCTGTTGCTTCGAAGAGTTTTCGCTTTGGGTTGTCGAATTTAGGGCACATTGGCAGTCGATTTGTGGCCTATGCTTTGATGTGTTCGTTGGTGATTTGGTTCTGACACAAGTGTAGGACGCATTAAGGGTTTGCGGAGTCTTCGATGCTGAGCTTCGGGTTATATTCTGTTTTTGAATTGATTGGGATCTATGCAGTTGTGATCTTGTGAATTCATAAAGGTTTCCCCTAGTTGAATCAATATGTTCTAGGAAATTGTGCATATGTTGTTCAGTGGTATTTTTTGCTTCTGGTGGAAGCATGTCTTGATTAAACGCAAAACCAACATTTCACGTTAGAAACCTATTGTTTTGTTTAGAACTCGTGAAATTGATTGTCTTCGAAACCTAACGAAAATTTACATAATTAGGGTAATAATCATTCTGTAAACAAAGGGACCCTATAAAATTAGCTGCATAATAGATTTGTGCCGCATACTTTTAGAGCAGGGAGAGTACTGAAATAGGATGCCGGAGTACACGCAGGCTAGCCCATATCCTGTCCGTTACTCTAGAGCGGGACAAACGTCGGCGCTGATTGGAAACTTGGGATTTTTCATTCAGCCTGTTTATCACGCTGTACAGTTGATTTCTACAGATAAACTGGTCCACGCGGTGAATATATCAAAGTGCCTCTCATATCTTATGTCAATATATCAAAGTTGCGCTTTGCTATCCTTGATAAGTCTAGGAGTGCCTAATTGTCATGATTATATTGCTACTAATGTATCAAGCCATATGTTGTTGCCATGTCTCAGGATTTGCCTCAGATGCTCTGGCAGGGACCGTATCGGGTACACATACAGTCCCAGCCACAGCTCAGGCTTTGAAGAATATTTCTAACGAGATTACATACGATGAGCATACACACGAGAGATGTGCACCAGGGGATCCCAGCAAGAAGGCTTTTGCTTACTTGATCCTGACTGGTATGTTGTGTTCTTTCATGTTCATCTTCTCAGCCTTTGCGTGCTGCATCTCCATTTGCCGCTTGCTCTACCTGTGAATACCAGTGCTGGTGATTTATTGGTTTTTGTGGCTTTCACGATCTGCTGATCGTATCAGTTGTGCATAATATCCTCTTCCCATAAACTTTGCACGTCATAGATCTCAAGCCGTGTGCATTTTAGTGTAGTCTCACAACTCTAATATGTATATTTTGTTTTCTTTTTTATTTTTCTAGGAGGGCGTTTTATCTATGCATCAGCCCTGCGAATCCTTGCGCTCAAGCTGATTTTATCAATGTCAGCCAGTCGAGACGTTCTTGCTCTGGCCTCATTGGAGGTTGACATCTCCAGCATCGAACCTGGGTCGACCGTGACGGTGAAGTGGCGTGGCAAGCCTGTGTTTGTGCGTCATCGTACTGAAGCCGACATCAAGTTGGCGAACTCGACCCCATTGAACGAGCTTCGGGACCCTGAGGAAGACTCTGTAAGGGTGCAAAATCCCGAGTGGCTAGTAGTGGTGGGCGTTTGCACCCACTTGGGATGTGTGCCATTGCCGAACGCAGGGGACTATGGGGGCTGGTTCTGCCCTTGCCACGGTTCTCACTACGACATTTCGGGACGCATTCGAAAGGGTCCTGCACCTTACAACCTGGAAGTGCCCCAGTATAAGTTCACAGAAGAAACCAAGCTTTTGATCGGCTAAGTATGTTCGTTGGAAGATTACTTGAATGAGTTCAGTCAGAAGAGGTGTGGAGTCGATTGTGGTCTTGCTGATAGTGGTGTACTCATCAGCATGTCAAGCTGTAGAGGGAATCAAGAACGTGGAAGAACTATGTTCTATTACTTAAAAAGTCAAATTTAGGTGTTACGCTATTTCCACTTCAAATTTCTATATGATTGAGGAGATAGTTGTCTTTCAATCCTGGTAGAGTTATTTTTATCTGCAAACATTTGCTTCCAAATAGAATTATTGGCTGATTCGTATTTTTATTATGATATTAAGATGGTTGGCTGTTACTAAATACCGTAAAATTCTTTTTATCAATAGTGGCATTAGATGTCACATTCTAAAAGGCATCAACTTTCTTTCTCTGTTTTTTGTTTTTTCGTTTCTTTAAGTTTAGATTTGATACTGTTAAGGTAGTACAAATTAAGAGATTAAATTGTGCCACCAGGTTTGATCCCAGGTAGTGCAAATCTAGATATCGGTTAGATTCAACTGTTTTCTTTCAAAATTTGAGGTCACCCAGTTAAGGCATTCTCAACTCTTGATGGCTTTAATCATTGGAGCAATCCTAACCATAAATCCGAAATACTGTAACAATACACTCACCTCACATTCATAACAATACATCTTGATTATAAATATTGGTTTCACAAAAATCACTATTCTTCAATTATGAAAGAAACCAGATTTTTTAAATTTAGGAATCTGGTTTACACTTTTGCATAATTAATGTAGTATTGGAGATCAATATGTTTGTTTTGAAAGTTGATTAGTTAGCATACATCTTGTCTAGGTTAAAATTGTAATGGTTGGGTGGGTCTTTACAACCACCAAAATAGTTATAATTTCAACCTTCATACTATTTCTCTTTGTCTGTTATTCAATCCAACCCATACAACAATATTCTTACATTGCAATATTTTTGTCTTCAAAACATTACTTTAAGTTCAAAGTTCCTTTCAATTCTTGTGATTTTTGTATTTGCCATGCAATCAATGCATTTGACATAATTTAGCTTTAATACGGTTTACAAAACTTACAATACAAGATTGACATAAATGTCTATCATAAGATTCATCAATGTCATCATTATTGTCTTAAATAAAAACATTTTATATTACATCATATTGTACTCCTTTACTTTTTATATCTTTTGCTTGAAATATTTGTAGACTCAATATCTTGTGTAAAAACATACATCAAATTATTTACAACCACCCATGTTGAAACTTTTGAGCAATTTAATGATATAATTTTTGAGCTTAATGCAATGGAAAATTTTATTGTATCTCTCACATGTCTATTTGTTTTTATCTTAAATGAATACTTTCTTATCATTATTGTTATTATTATGCTAATTTATTTATTTATTAAAACGACTCTGTCAAACTCATTTCACTTGCCATTAAAATTTGATGATCAATATAAATGGTTTCAATATGTGTACATCAATGTGATTATTTGATGTACAAAAAATTATAATCTTGATTTATTATGTACAAAAAAAAAATTAAAATAATCTATAATTTTTTTTTAATTTTTTGATTTTTTCAAATTTGAAAAAAAATATTATCTTGAAATTTATTTCATATTTTTTGATGATTATGGTTGACTTACTTACAAAGATGTATCTAATGATAAAATTAGAAAATAAACAATATGATTATTTCATTCATTAAAACACACACATACACACACATATATATATATATATATATATATATATATATATATATATAAACTTATTCTTGCAACTTCTAACATATTTTAGTCATTAAAGTAGAAGATTTTTTTGTAATTATTTGATAACTCAAGATACATTTATGAGTAACCATTAAAAGAAAAGATTAGCACTATTTGAGTAATAGCAATTACAATTTGAAGATGAAGTTTGCAAATATTTCTTTGAAAAATTGTAGAAGAACCTATATTATCTAACAAGGTAGATTCTAAGATTAAGAGAGAAATTTAAACAATTTGTAGAAAAGAAAACTTCATCCACATCAATTGTTGCAAAAGACTTGCAATGAAATAAAGTTCTTTGCAACGTGTTAAAATGAGGATCAATTCAACATACTCTTTAAAAGAGGCAAGTTACATACAAACAAGATTGAAGAAAGCTAAGATATGTTGGCACAAATAAACAGAACAAATGCCTTTTGTGAACTAACCTATGTTTAAAAATACTCCTATAAAAGATGGATATAAAAGAATGGCCTTGCTTGTAATCATGGTAGTTTCAAATATATGTTTGATTAATACATTTGTGTCAATATTCATGGTATTTATGATACCATATGTTTCAAAATAAATTAAAACTTGAAATAATTAAGTTTGAAGAAAACTAAGATTTGACATTAATAGAACATCAAAGCAAAGAAGTTGTATGTGGTACTTGCTTTTGATATGATAACAATTACAATTATGGTAATTTAGCCACATTCCTAAAAGTTGCTTTCATACAATTTATTTGTTTATTTGTTTTGATAGAATGAAAGAAAAAGATGGTAAGCATAAATAATACAAATGATAAGTTTTAAAAAGATAACAATAGTTTTGAGGCTAATGAAGAGAATACAATAAAAAAAAAATTGTATAAGTAAATTATATATTGACATATATACACATACATGCATTAATATTTCTACAAAAAATATAATGAACAATAAAAGATATTTCATTTTAAATTGTATTAGTTAAAAATAATGACATGGTTGAGGTCATTGTGTCAAGGATAAGAACTCAATGAAAGCAAATAAATAGGTAAGACTCTTTCAAAGAAATATGAAAAAATAGAAATAGAGAAGTATGTATATTAAAAAAGAAACTAGAATACATATTGCCAAAAGACAAGGAAATTAAAGACTCTTGAAACTAGACTAAAAGCAAGAAAAGAGTTGACAAGAGTGAATAAGGCTTCATTCTTGCCTCCATATATACTATCTACCTAGGATCTATATAGCAACGTTCTATAAGACCTCTAAAAAACGTGTTGACTTTGCATGACATATATTTTAACTTGCAAGACAAGTTTTCTATATAGGTGCCACATAGTTAGCTTGTTCCACAAGCTACCAATACATGTGGGACGTGGTTAGGTTGTTGACCAAGTTTCTAACCTATCAATCAACTATAAACACATGTAAAGTCAAAACAACATCTAAGAAGCTTCTAGGAAATTTATATAAAAGGTATTATAAAATTAATCTATTTTTTATCTACTTCTACCTATTCACATTACCTAGATATTAATTATAATAGATATATATTCATGGCACATTGATATAGACTTTATTTTTTAGATTATTAATACAAGAATTTTTTAATTGATATTTTTAATCTAAAATAATATTAAAAGTAGTTAGATAGATTCTACATCAAATTTAAAATCATTTTTTAGATCTAGATTTAAGATTTATGTTTAAGATTAATTACATGTATAAAACTTAATGGATTTTTAGGTTTATGAAAAAGATTGAGATTTAAGTCTAATATTAAGATTAAATCTAAGATTTTAATTACCTACATATTTAGGACCAAAACCAAAATTTATACTCAAAACTAAAATTTATGTTTAAGATTAAGACTATGACTTGCATCTAAGACTAAGACTTATGTCTAATATTATAATTATTTCTAAGTCTACAATAATAATCAGATTTAAAGATAAATTAAGATTCACTCATATAAACACTTTTGTTTTGTTTTGTTTTGTTTTGTTTTGTTTTTTTTTTTTTTTTGTATATAAATATAATCTTGATAAGTTACTACTTTAATTTATTGGAAACATTATATGAAAAAAAATTCATTTATTTACTTATTTCACTCAAGATTTAATTTATTTCATTCATAGAAATTTCTTATTTTAAAAAATATAACATAATAAATTTTAGAGCATCTTTCAAGTATCTATATTATATTAAAATTCTTATTTATTCACATTTTTTTTTGTGAGGTTAAAATAAAAAGTTTATTATATAATAATTTTAATTGTAGGAGAAAAATAATGTACTTTGAAAAGATGGATTGGCTGAAAATCAATTAAATTCTAAAATAAGTCATACAATTGAAATATGTCTTCAAGTACAATTTGAAAGCTTTTACAACATATCTATGACTTAATAAACGTATAATTTTCATAGACATATATATTAACTTATATAAGAAGTACTAGGTAAAAGATAAATGTAGGTAGATTTGATACTATCTTATGGCAAAGCTTCTTAGAAGCTTTATAGATGCATATTTGACTTTGTATATTTTATAGTTGATTGATAGGTTACAAACTTGACTAACAAGTTAGCTATGTGTCACATGTGTAGATAGCTTGTAATATAAGCTAACAATATTGTGCACATAGAAGAAACTTGCCTTACAAGTTAAGACATATGTCTTACAAATTAGACATGTGTTGGACATCCTATAGAATGTCGTTATATAGCTTCTAGTTAGATAGTATATATAGAGGCAAAAATAAAGTCTTCTTCACTCTTATCAATCCTATTTTAGACCTTAGTTTTATTTCAAGACTTTTTAGTCTTCTTGTCTTTGATAATAGCTACTTTAATTTAATATTATAATATCTTTGAGTGATATTTTAGTTATTTTTTAATAACACAAGAATTTATTGATCTTTAATTTTTTTAGAAATCATGTCATTAATAGTTTGATAAAATTATTAAATTATTATTATTTTTTATTTTAAAAGTGAGTGGATTATTTTATTTCTATTATTATGTTTTAAAATATATATACTACCAATCTTTAAATAAATTTTTGATTTCTTAAATACTAATTGATATCTTCAAAGTAAACCATCCTTTTTAATAGAAATTTTTATTTGATATTATAAGTTTTAGATTATTATCTTCCAATTTGACTTGTGAATTTATTTATATTGTCTATAGGAGAAAAAATTGTAGATGCTATTCATGGAAAAAGTAAGAATAGATTTGCAACTATTGTACATCTTTAGAAGTTTGACAATACTCTTAGAGTCGAATCTTACTTAACACTTAATAAAAGTTTCATTCTTTCTTCATATCCTTCACCTTGTTTTACAATACAAGTTTTTTTAAGACTAAAAATTCACAAAGTCTTTATTAAATTGAAGAACCTTAGCTTGTTTTATAGACAAAGTTTTATATATATATATATATATATATATATATATATATATATAATTTAAAAAAATAAGCTTATGCATGTAAAAGTCATAGATAGTCATTTGTTGTCCTTTGAAGACATGATCCATAAAACAACTCCTTTTGATATATCAACTAAAGATCATAATAGCTAAGTAATATTCAATATTATTGGATCTCTTTTTAAATCAATTATTTTAGAGTTA